GGCTTTAAAGAGTCCCACCAGCCATGAACACTTCTGCAGCTGTGAGGTTTTCCCTTTAAAAAGACTTGACCTGTCACTATTATCACYTCCACTTGAATACCCTGTAACATGTTTTGCCTGGTGGCAATTTTCCACTTGACACACCAGTTTACCTCAAAGTATTTTATTTCCAAGTGTTGCTTTTTGCAATAACTCATGCCGACTTTTTCATTTTTTTTTTAATTCTCGTTTGTTCATGCAACTTCTTAGAAAGCAGAGAAAATATTCGAAAATGTAAAGTGCGTCAAACAGAAATGTACAAAGCTGTGCTTGAATTATTCTTGAATATCAGAGTTTCAATGGGTTCCTGACAGAAGGACAAAATAAAGGAAAAAAAGCCTCAATTTCAGAGTGCATAAGACATAAAGAGAGAAAAATCTGAGGAATGACTGTTTGTGTCTGATAGGGGTGTACACTCAGCTCTGATGCCCTGGGTGTTCTGGCTACTGGAGGCCTACTGGACCACACAGATTGCTGCCATTATGGAAAGTGGATCTGTGATGGCAAATAGACCTAAGCTTTCACGAGACAACACCATACACACTGGCTGCCTTGGGCTCATTTTACGATCTGACTGCACAGTATGGAGTGATTTACATGAAACTGAAGCATAGAAAATTAAATTTAATGTGGCCAGTTGCTGTGTTTATCTCATAACAGCTTAAGACTGCAGGCGTTGTTTTTGTTGGCGTTTGCTGTGGGTTTGTTAAAACCTGAGCAGAGGAATTAAATATTTTACAATGTTTAACACAGAAGCCTTTGTTTTGACACCCAAAAGTTCCAGATTTTACCCAGCCGAGGTGGTATGCCTGCGTATTTGGGTCAATTCTTACCTAATTTGTGCAACAGATTCAGTGGTGAGACAGTGACTCACTAGGAATGACTCACTGTGGACAAACAAAACACAGCCAGTGCATTCTAAATGAGGAGGAGGTGAGGAACTTCTCAGGTTTAACTTAAACTTTCATTTAATGGCTAAAAGCATCATGTCACGCTGTGAGCGAGCAGAGGCCGGGTCAGATGAGCTCCGTCTCTGCCATGCGGTATTTGCAATAAAGGTCATAGACTGAGGAATAGCAACAAGACATCCTTTTTCTCTAAAGATCTTTTGCTRGGCCAGATATTCTGCAGAGCTGTATTTTTCATATTCATTTCATGGAACATTTGATTTGGAACCTCTTTCCTCTCAGGGGCTTTGAGAGTGTTTTTTTTCCTCAGTGCTCTAGTGCCACTGCTCTTTTGTCATCATGAAGGTGGTTTTATAATGGCAGCCTTTGGCAATGCGTTGCAGTATTCATGGCAGCATTTATTCCTGCACTTTATCTGTACTTGAAAGGCTGACCAGTGCTTTTACTTGATCATCTTAGTCTTATTGTAGATAATTTCACGGTGCTGCATGAAGCAAAGAGAACTGAACATAAAACTGTTTGCATGCACTGAAACTGCTTCTTATCTTGATTTTTATTCTTTACTTTTATTTGGAGTAAAAACTGGAACTTTCACTCACAGTGATGTGGAATAGTTTTATTTGAATCTTGAGTTCAGATGTCAGATTAAAATAAATATTAAATATTAATCAGAGTTCATCAAAATGTCTTGCTTATGCAGCACAGTGACACAGATTAATGTACCCTATATTCTTTTATATAAACTAGTAGTTTATACAAAAGAACATAGAGTACATTAATCTAAATTAATGTTAAGTTGATCAAAAACCTCACCATTTGGTCCTAAAATATTATTTTAGGACCAAATGGTGAGGTTTTTGATCAACTCAACATTAATTTAGAGTTGCTTTATGGAATTTGAAGAATGATGCTACAAACCTTGAGACAGTCTTGCCTCGTTAGTAAAATTATGTGAAACATACAAAATGTAACCTTAACTGTATACTTCAGCAACTAAATATGAAAGAATGTGGCAGTGAATAAAAAGTGAAAATGTCAAAAATGACAAGAAATTATGCTTACAGGCATTTCCTAACAAAATTAAGCGTAATATGACCATATACTGTACAAATTCTTAAAATGAAAAACCTCATCTGTAATTACTTACTGCTCATTCAACTACTCACCTACTTAAACATAGGATTAATTTAATTTGGAAATTAGGGGAAAAAACACCAAACAAGATATTTCAAAAGGAATTACATAACTAAATAAATAATTAATTAATTAGCAGCACATGATCATGCCATTTTTCTCACAGGTCAACATGGTGGTTGTTTTAAGAATAAAAAGCTAGCAGTTTACTTATAATTTGAGCCTTTGAACAATCTACAAAATAAGTTATGAGTCAACTAAGAGACAACTAGTTTTACTTCTCAAACCGTTGCATGCAAAACCACAATTTACACACGACTGTAATGAGATAAACTCCCACAAAGGTCAAATGACAGAAAGAATGGACTTTAATTCCTGAGTGGTGACTCTGGTTTCAACATGAGGTATATTCTCTCTGCCACGAACTGTCACATTCACTTTCCCCTGGCAGCCTGATTATCCCCGCTGTGAAGAGTTGTGTCCTCTAACACACAAAAAACACCTTCRGACCCTAAGCTATCTAACAGCAGATCCAGTGTAACAATGTAAAAGAACACAGGCATGTTTAATTCTATCCACAAAAATCTAAATGTTTTGGCCACGTTTAACTATGCCACAGTGGTATTCTAATGCTGAGAGCTTTCTTAATTGGAAACATGTATAATATGTTGACCTTTGAGCAATTAAATAATGAATGCAACAGTCACTGACGGATCTGTTCTAGCTGAACAACTTGAATTGTGGACACTCAGTTGCCTAATTTTGTGTTTCCGGCAAGCATTTCTTTAGATGACCCCTCAATGTGTTTTAAATAATAAATTCAGGCAATCTGTAGTCACAGTGGTTCCTATTCAATTAAACCTACATAARAAAGCATGAAATATAGTGTAAAACATTTCAAAAATACCTGTTTCCACATTCAGAAAGTGACTTGACATGTCAGGCAGCAATATATGGTTATCTCGACTCCCTTGCGCCATGTGAATTCAACGATGTCAGGATCCTATAGGCATCCAGGGGTTTAGTAAAACTAAGTTAAAATGAGGAGTGTGCTGTCTTTTATTTGAATTACATCTGAAACAAGCCTTCAATGTCTGGCACTTGGAAAAACCCAGAGCTGCACAAACAGAGGGTTCAAAAACACAGCAGACTGCTTGAAAGGATATTAATAAAGTTGTTAACAAAATGACAAAACTTATTGAAGTAAAACTGTATTTGGCAGAAAGGTAACACGGAAAAGAAAAAAAACATCCTTCTAGCAGTTCRTTGAGTAATTTTTTGCACAATTTTTTCTCTGTTTCCAGACTTGCTGTCAGTTTAGACAATAGCTTGACATTTTTATTTAAATCTAAGACTTTGGTAAAAGTTAAAASAGCTTTTGGGATTGTACATTTTTTGTTGTTGTTGTTTTTTTCACTTCAAAACCAAAAGAACTTCACTTCATCTTTATTTTATGTACCTTTAAAGATTACTACATCTTCTACTTGTTTGAATATTCACAAAGTAGCGCAGGAGTCCCTAAAATGTTATTGTGCATTATTTATTCTGAGCAGTGAAACAAAGTTTTCTTGAACATGTCCTCCTTTCAGAACACTGGGCCTCATGCAAGAACCGTTCGTACGCACAGATTTGTTCTTAAGTTGTGCGTACGAGTGATTTAGGAG